TGGCACCGGGCCCGGCCCTCGCACGCGGCTCCGCGTCGGCGGCACCCACCCTGGCGCCTCGGCGAGCCTAGGAGCGAGCCGGCCCGGGGAGGCGGGGGCCTGGCTCGGCGCCCGCGGAGCACGAGCCAGGCGACCGGAGAGGCTAGAGGGCCTGGAAGTAGAAAGCGAGCGCGCTGCCCGGGCCTCAGCTTGCTCGGGCCAGGCCCGGAAACCTTTGGCAAGCCTCCTTCACCTGTGGAGAGTGGGTGAGGAAACTTCTCAGTGTTGGGTTTTTGGGTTTTTTTCCTGTGAGACAATGCAGGTTTGTGAGTTTTGTTTTGGGGGGGATGGGGTTCTTTTACAAATATTTCTGACTGGACCTGGTTGGACTGCCCCATCTGAGCATTTTCAAACTTCAACAGTTTTGTTTTTCAGCTCTCAACATTTGGAGACTCTCGCCTTTTGTCCTCGCTGGGGACACACGAAATGGAGCCCTCAGGTAACTGCCGGGTGGGACAGCTGGATTCTGCCGAGTTCTGCTGACAGTATCTTGTTCAGGGATTTTAAAGCCACTGGCAACATGTAGGGGGTGCACATGCACCCCGAGACTGGTGGTGCGCCCCCTGCGAAAAGGCGCCCCAGATAGTGTCGGCTGCTGCTTGCCACCTCCCCTTGCCACTGACACTGCTGGTGGCGTCTGCGGGTAATCCACAATTGCCACTGGCCGCTGCCACCAGCGTCTGCAGGTGGTTGCCGACCACTGGTTGGCGCTTGCCACCCTCCTCCCCGCCGCTTACAGTGCTGCCTCTGGGAGCTCACTATGCCTCCCCAGCCTCCCGGGGCATGCAGTGTTCATGCTTAAAGCCATCCTGTCAAAGGTGACAGCTCATCTTGACATGTTCCTTTTAGCTCACTGAGTGAGTGACCGTCAGGACTTGTTATAACTAATCCACAAATAATAAAGCAGTGCTCCCTGTGAGTTCTCCCCGTTCTCCTGCCACTGGATCCCCTCCCCCGCCGCCCAGCACATCCGTTCATCCTTTCTCCCAACACAGGGGTGTTCAACTGGCTCTGGCCCTTGGAGCTAGGGCTTCCCAGGGGGTTGGAAATTTGGTGGTAGTGGCAGCATTAACTGCTGCTCCCCTGTGCCAAATTTCTGGGACTTGTGAGGAGCCTGCAGGCTGGATAGCGTGGTTCTGAAGTGTGCTAGATCAGGTGCACAGGGCTAGGCTGGCACTGGGCACTGGAGCCTGATCTTGGCATCAACCCTGCAAGGCATCTCGCCCGCAGACCAGCTTCAGGCCACTCATCTGGCCCACAGGGCCAAAAAGTCATCCATCACTACCCTTGGACACTTTCATTCATTGATTATCTCAGAGCCAGGCTCCCTTTCTGCCCAGGCCCCCGCCTGCTCAGCCTGTCTGCACCGACATTGCTCATGCTCACCTGCGAGCTGCTCAGTGGTACTGGGCTATGGTGCTGTGCCTCCCAGCTCTGTTCCAAAATCAACAGGAGGGGGAGAGGCTGACAAGCAGGGAACCCTCTGCCTGACCTGCCAAATGGTTTTCCTCTTCACCCAACATTGGATAAAGGAGCATTCCTTAGGGGCTGCAAGTCAAAGAGTCTGAGGAAAAACTTTCTGGTCAGCACATTACACCCCAGCCTCCTGCTACGTGCAGTAGTCTGCCTTAATGCTGGGCCGCAGCTGGGTATCACCCTTTATAGCTAGCCTTAGGGAGCACTCTAGGGAATGGTAGCTAAACAAGACTAGGAACAGAAAGAGGATGAGAGACCTTGAGAAACAGGGGAAGTATGACAGGTATTAACAGAGAGAAGTGAGAGCTTGAGGGGGCTGGAGTAAGGAGGGTCATTGTGAGTTTCTGAGAAAATGTAGGGGAAAAGGGATATTAGGAAAGGCACTGTGAGATGGGGACAGCTTGAAGGGGTATGTGCAAAGCAGATATCTAGGGAAGCAGAAAGACCAGCAAGAATTGGCTGGGGGACTTTCAAGAAATACAGGATTAGAGAATTAGAGGGTTGATGGAGAAAAGTGGCAAGGAAAACAGAAGAAAACAGGGCTGGCAGAGACCAGGGGGACTGTGGGGCTTTAGGGAACTGGTGCTTATGGCAGGGAGGATGGGGGCTTTGTGGGGAAAAGAAACAGCGGGTTATAGAAGAATATTGAGGATACACGTCAAATTACATTACTAGGGACAATAGTTTCTCCTGAAAGATTGTATTTATATTCTGGAGAAAGAGGGTAAGCCTATAGACACAATGAGAACTGGTATCCCAAAAGGTAGTCCAGGTCCAAACAACCAGGCTACCATGTTCCATCTACATAAAGTGGGAGGCACACCACCAGTCTCTTAAAGCCCAGCAGGTGTGGCAGGGCTGTCACAGAAAACTACTAGTTACCTCCTCAGCAGGGAAGAGTTGTATCACAGACAGCTGATTTGAGACAGACCTTTACAAATAAATCCCAGGCTAGGAAGTGGCTGAATTTTCCTTCCACTGACGGCATTAGAAGCAGACCTCTGCTATTCATCCTAACAAACTACTGCTGGTCATTGTGGTGGGAAGCATTTTCAATGTAGCGATCTGAAGATCTACACTGTTGGGAATCCCACCAATGCAAGGGCAGAGACCTCCCCCCCAATAAAAACAACAGAAATGCTTATTTTAAACCGTGTTGTCTGTCTTATTTAGATGTTACTGGGGTCCGCCGAAATCTGTGCTAGAGTTGCTGTTGGGAGAATGGAGTAGACACATAGGTTCTTCACGTTCCCAATTTCAATAGTACAGTATACTAATATTGTCACAAGTTGTTGTTTTTTGAAGTAGTGCCCAGATTTTGTAGAGTACAGGCAGTCCTCCGACTTAGAACACAATCGGTTCCTGAAAACCACGTCTTAAGTCAAAACGTGGTAACTCGGAACTGATTTTCCCATAGGAAGTAATGTTATAAATGGGGGATTGGTTCCTGAACCAAGGCCCGGTACCCTATTTTCACCAAAAATAACGCAGAATTTTGTATTCAATCATTTATAGATGAATAATGTAGCTACATTAATGTGTTTATATTGTAAACAGCAATCACATTCATTTGGAAGGACTTTGAGGTGACTTTGCTGGACTTTTTGAGGGGCTCTTGGCTGGAGTCTTCTCAGGAGTCCTGGCTGCAGGTTTTTCTGGTGTCTTGTCTGCTTTGTTAAAGTGTCCAAGGAAGTTTGGACGGAAGCTCTCCAAGGAGATAGGCGATGCAGCGAACTGGTTCGCTTGCGTGGGGTCGGCTCAAGTGTTGTAAAGTTGAAACTGATGTCAGGAAGTGAAAACGGTGTCCATTTATAATACCCAGGTGGGAAATTCGTTTTACTCCCTGCAGCCGGGTCTCCTCGCAGGAGCCCACGCCTGCAACACGCCCAAGGCTTTCGAGGCTCGCACCCACCTCCCACTAGGACAGCAATACTCAAAGCCTAGTCCCAACCCACACGCGGGAGCATCTCCACTGTGTGCCCTGCAGCTCATTGCAGAATATGTCACTGCAGTGCAGCCCCGTGCCCTCCTTCAGCAGCTGACCGTAGGAAGAAGCTAGTCTGCCCCTTCTCGCGTGAGCTGCAGCGCTCAGAGCGGCGGGCGAGGAGCTGCTGGGTGGCAGCAGCAGCCGCCGGAGCAGGAATGCGACGCTCGACAATAAGGCACCCGCTCGTGCTCCACGCGCGCGGCTCCACCCCAGCGAGGCAGGGCCGGCCGCGCCTGGCAGAGGCCGAGAGACGCGAGCCTGACGCGTGGGGGCAGGGTCATGCTATAGGCAGCGGGCGGGGCCATTGCAGCCCGCGTCCGCTCTGAGCTTGTGCTGCCATTGGCGGGGAGATCGAAAAGGTCCCGCCCACGCGCGGGGAAATAACCAATAGAGAAGTGAGAGTGGGAGATCTCGCGAGAGTTTCCTTGAAGCTGGCGCCGCCATCTTGGAGTTGGGAGAGGCCGCGTCCTGTTTATGTCGCTCCTAGGGGGTCGCTGAGGGGGATGGGCGCCGGGCACTGAGCTAGCGGGGTCCATGCGCCCGCCTCGCCCCCGGGCCGAAGCATCGCCGGCACGGGCGGCCCCGGGGCGGCAGGATGGTGCAGTCCTGCTCTGCCTACCGCTGCCGGAACCGATACGACAAAGAGAAGCCGATCTCCTTCCACAAGTGAGCGCGAGCGGTACGGGGGGCGGGGCCAGTGCGCTGCTCTGCGCGCGCCCGGCGGCCGGGGGCGGGGCCTGTCACCTCCAGGGGCCTCGGGTGCGCGCGCAGCCCCACGTGGAGGGGGGCCTCGCGTGAGGGGTGTCGGGCGGCCCCTGGCGGCCGTACTGCGCATGCCCCTCCGCCACAGGGGGGTGTGCCCCCCACCCATACGCTATGCTCCAGAGCATCTTCTGTTGCCTACGTGTACATTCGTATATGTACATCTGTATACGTGTGTGTATGTACATGTGTGTAGGTGCATATGGATGTGTGTGTGTATCTGATGCTGTTAGTCATAGAGGTGCGTCTCTAGCCTACCCTCTGGTGTTCTTTGGCAGGTGGTGGTAGCCTGCATGTCATGAATACCTACACACATCTGCGTTTAGGTCTCTGAAATCGGCATGCCTCAAACAAGGCCTTGCATGTGGCCCAATTGATGTCCCCTGTTGGTGCCTGGAGCCAGCTGCTGGGACAGGCAGCTGGCTGGGGAGCAAAGTAGTGGCAGTGCACGTGGTAGTATCTGTGTGCTGCCGTGCTCGCATGTAAGAAGAGCTTCAACAGGAAGCTGACAGTGCCTCTTGGTTGCAGGTTTCCTCTCACAAGGCCTGATCTCTGCAAGAAATGGGAAGCCGCTGTGAAAAGGAAAAATTTCAAGCCAACAAAGTATAGCAGCATTTGCTCAGAACATTTCACTCCTGATTGCTTTAAAAGGGAGTGTAACAATAAGCTCCTGAAAGAGAATGCCGTGCCCACAATATTCTGTTACACTGAACCCAGTGAAAAGGTAACCATGAAAACTCCTCTTTAAGGAGTGACTGACACTTAAATGTATGTATGTAGATATATTATGCATGTTTTTTTTTTTTAACCTCAAGGAGAACGGTAGGAAGGAGACTGTTTGTTTGTTTCCTGTGCATGATCATAGTTTTGGTCAACTTATAGGCAGGGATCCTGGTTTTCCATTATAAAAAAACAGCAATTCTCTGATTAAATTGTAAATTCTCTGATTAAAAATCCCAAAATCTGTGGTTAAAATTAAATGCCCCCCCATCCCTCCCCCCACAGCCCTGCTGGTGTCCCTCACTCCCACCCCCCAGTCCTGCTTGTGCCCCTGTCCTGCAGCCGTGCTAGAGGAGCCCACAGCTGCCAGGTCTGTGGGGCCAGGGACCCAGGTCCATAGCCCCCTGCCCCCAACGGAAGGCAGCAGCTGCTACAGCAGGAGCATGAGCCGGCTCCCTCCACTGCTGCCTGCCTGCCTTGGGCAGGGCTGGCTCCCCATGGCAGCGTGCAGTCCTGGGGGTCAGGGGGGACCTGTGCCTCCCAGATCTGTGGGGGGTGGGGGCGGGTGTGCACTGCGCCCATGTAGACAGAGGAAGTGTGGCTGGGGCAGTGTGGAGCTTGCAGCAGCAGGCAACTTTCTTGTGTGGCCCTGCTGTGCTCTGCTGTGCCAGTTGCACACGCTGCACTCCAGAGGGCCTGGGGGTTGGAAGCAGGGTGGGGAGCACAGCGTTTCTGACTCACGGTTTGCAGCTGGCCGGCACTCCAGCTGGGGGAGGGAAGAGGGAGTTCAGTCTCCCTGCTCCCAGTCAGAGTGTCTGGCTGGCTGCAAACCCCACCTTCTGGCTAGGCAGTGCCCAAGCTGGCTGGGGGCTGAGGGAGTGTGGATGTTTGCAGTCAACCAGGCACTCTGGTTTGCAGCTGGCCTAGCACTCTGACTGGGAGCGGGGAGGCTGCAAACCCCACCCCAGCCAGACTTCAAACCTCCCCGCTCCCTCAGCCCCCAGCCAGCTTTCTCCCCCACCAGCCTCATCATGCAATCCCCAAGCCACACTTAATTCCAGCAAGAATAGTGAGCCTGCAGTAGCCTCTGGTAAGCCTTGATATCAGGCCCTAACCTTGCCCCTCTCCCTTCCCCTCCGGGCAGGGTTGAGGGTTTCCCGCCCCTTTTGCAAACAGCTCTTGCAGGCTGGAACTCAGCCATCCTGCAGAGCTCTTTGCAAAAGGGGGAAATCCATGGGTTTCTCTTCTAAAAGGGAAAATCCGTGTTTTCTCTGATTTTTAAAAATGGGACATCCATGGTTTTTTCTGTTTTTCCATGGGAAACGGAAAAGTCGGATCCCTGCTTATAAGGCAGTGGTTCTCAACCTTTTTCAGACTCAAGGCAACCCTGGATAGACTTGAGGCTTTCCTTGGTAAATGCTAGCTCTTAGTTTTCACTCCTTTTTTTTGTGTGTGTCTGTTTTGATTATGAAAAAGAATAGAGCATTTTTTCTGTTCTAAGCCACCACCATAGATTTCTGTTTGAAACCTCTGAATTTACTTTGTGAATCATGTTTGCCTACCTAATAGTGCTAACATTCTGTGGCACCTGGCGGCACCCTTGAATGGATCTCAAAGCACCCCAGGTGCTATGGCAGCCTGGTTGAGAAGAAAGGTCCAGAAGGCTGGAGAAGTAAGATATGGTTATTGGGCAATTTCTTCACCCAGAAAACATGACCCGTTGGAGGTTGCTCTCAATTGACCTTGGGTATCATGATGAGCCAGAAGGGAGAAGATGGTCCCTTAGGTGCATAGTGGGTACATACAGATCTGCAAATGATCTCACCCAGCAGCCTCATATGCACATTGAACAAGAGGGGCAATAAAATGGAGCCCTGGAGGATCTTACAGGAGAGGCCCTGAGGCAATGATGAGCATTCTCTGGTCAACACAGTTTGGGACCTTCTTGAGCCAGGAAAGAGTGGAACTATTTGAGCTGTGCCTTTACCTTCTTGAAATCAGCTGCACAAGCAAGTTTATGAAAAATAGTCTACTAGAGCAGGGGTTTTCAACCTTTTTGATTAAGTGTACCCCCTGTGGCCAGATGTGGGGGAGGAGGGGTGGTGGCGCTCTCTCAGCCCATCTGCACATAACCCTTAGGGCTTTCCTAAGTACCCCTGAGGGTACACGTACTATTGGTTGACAACTTCTGTACTAGAGGTTTGACTTGGTCAAAATGCTTGATATCTTATTCTTCACATGCAAGTTTAATAGACCCACTATAAGAAAAATAGTCTCTTTTAATCTGAGACATACAACTGGGATTTTTGAGGCTTTCCAGGGCCTGGTGATACTTGGGCACCTACAAAACCTTTAAACCAGTACCAGAAGCAAAACTGATTTGCTTTGTGTGAAGTTGAAAATTTGGAACTGAGGGTCGTAAAGCCCTGTTCACTTTTGAAACTATAGATCTACAAATATATTTATTACACTGAATACTAGAAGTGGGACATGTTTATTTGCTAACTTCACCCGTGCTTTTTGCTTTACGACAGACTCCTGCAAGTACTGAAAAAGGCTGACAGTGTGGCAATTCGCTCTGCCATTCACAAAATGGACTAAAATGTATTCTGTCTTGTTATTTTAGACTGAAGAGTGTTCAGAGCAAGCAGAAGATCTGTCTCCTCCTACACCGCCATTGCCACCACCACCTCCGCCGCCGCCACCACCACCACCACCACCACCACCACCACCTCCTCCTCTACTGCCACCTCCCCCATCAAATCCTTCCTTTCCTTTATCTCAGATAGATGCAAGACTGGTAGATCCAAGTATTGGATTATTAATGCCTCCTCTCCAGACCCCTAGTAATCTAGCAGTTTTCTGTGATCACAACTATACCGTAGAGGATACAGTTCATCAGAGGAAGAGAATTCAGCAGCTGGAAGAGCAAGTGGAAAAACTGAGAAAGAAGCTCAAGACAGCACAGCAGCGATGCAGACGTCAGGAAAGACAGATTGAAAAACTGCGCGAGCTCGTTCAGTTTGAGAAGGAGAAGGACATATTGGCAGGAAAAGGCTACATTATTCTACCCAATGACTATTTTGACATTGTAGAAGTACCTGCATAAATACACTGACATCCCCTTTGAAGGGGCAATACCAAGTAGCATCTTCAGGCTAACACAGTTCAGTTTAAAGAATAAATACTCTTTAATTCTGTATGTAAGACTATTTGAGATTCTAAAAGAATAAAGAAGCTATGTAATGTTAAATAGATCACTTTTGTTGTTTCTTCATTGTCACTTTGACCCTTTTTTGTTAATAAATTGAATTAATGTTTTATATACATCTCAGAATTAGAATCTGCATTTAGTTTATTATCTCTGCTTTGCTTCTGAGAGGGGGATACAAGGTTAAGCATGTCTAACATGTAACATGTTCATAAAGAGTTTTCTTGTGCTGTGGTGGTGGGAGCAGTAGGGAGGGGAGGCAGGTCCACAGCTAAGAGTGAAAGCTTTGTCCTACATGTACAATAGTCTAGATATTTGAAGACATTTATCATTGGTCTAATTGTTCCCATTAAGGTTAACTTCCACCGACTTCAGTGAGAGCCAAATTAGGCAATGGTGAAGCAGTCAAAAATCCTGCCCTATGCTCTGTCTTATTCCATGCATATTTCAGGCTGGAATAACTTTCTAACCTCCGAATAAAAGCATGTTACACTTTTAAATCATGGCATAATCCTTAATCTCAGTGCACCTCTGGTGCAATAGATAACTATGTACAGTCAGCCTTACTGTATATTGCCATGGAAAAACCATGGACGGAGGAAAACTTGTTAAAGAATCATCTGACAAACTGCCTGTTTGAGGAGATGCTTTCTTTGGCAGGCCAAAGAACCTGAAGAGCTGCACTGGAAAATACTTCAAATAAAGGCTAGGTTTCTACTTTATATTTGAGATCAAAAAGGAATTGAGTGATTACTTCCTTCTACTGCATCTGATTACCTGATGTCCCTGAGATATACAGTTGGTGAAGAGAAGTGTGTCGACTGTATGGTACAGGCTCTGGATGCTTTGGATCCATATAAATTGATATATATAACAGAGGGGAGCCTGGAACTGTGGAATAGCTCCATTTTTCAAATGGGTGTGGTCAACACTTTCAAACAAGTGCCTAGTATGAGACACCTAAATAAATGGCCTGAATTTCGAGGGTGCTGAGCAATCTCAACTTTCACTGTGACCAAAATGTGACTTTCCAAAAAGCATGCACCAAGTCAGGAACAGACCAAGGTCAGACTTCGGGATATGCTGACTCCAAGCATAGACAGCAAGCCTGTCATTAATTTCCCAGATGCTGCTGTCTCCTGCCATCCCCATAAGACTCCCTGGGCGCGTCCACACATGCAAGCACATGCACTTGCAGCAGGTCAAATAGAAGCGGTACAAATTTGAGCCGGGGCTTTTTGGATCAGCACATGTGCTTGAAGATGCACTTTGTGCTACTTGGGGCAAAATAATCCTGCCTGGCTCCTCCCGGATCTGCAGCCAGGGGAAGCTAGAGCCCAGGGCCAGCACCTGTGCTGTCCCCAGCAGTATAAAAAGCTGCCCTGGCAAGTAGCTCAAGGCTACTTGCTCTCAGGAGCTTCTGAGGCGCAGCCAGTTAGTACCTGGGGACACTACACGTTGTGCCAGCTGGACTGCTGAACCAGCCCTGAGAGTTTCCTGCACCCTTTACCCACTGCAGCAGTTTGGCAGCGGGGGGCTGCTGCCTGGCTGTGACCTGCTGTGAACCTGCCAGACCTGGATGGGGACTGCACAGCCAGTAAAGGCATCTTCTCCTCTGGGCCAGCTGCCAGTGGGCTGTGACTGCAGAGCTGGCCTCTGTGTGGCACTACTGTCCTGTGGGCCCCTGACCGGCCATTTGGGCAGCTATTGCCCAGAAGATGTTCTGGGTGTGGTGGCCTGCTTTGAACTGGCAAAGCATGTCCCCCTGGCTTCAGCTGGCCAGGAGGTCAGCCACCTCCAGCTGGGTCCAAGGTACCAGCTCTGAGCAGGCAGGGTCCTGCCACTGGGCTCCCTAGCAGGAATTCTGGTGTTCCTTATTGGAAAACTGAAAAATCCCTGATTAAAAAAAAAACCTAGTCACTCTGTAAAATACCTCAAAATCCATGTTCCTCCATAATTTAAACAAAATACCACTATAAAGAGAGAGTGAGACAGAGACGGCGATCAGTTGGGCAATGTTTTATTGATATATCTACAGTGTTAAAGCAATGTGGAAGCCTACCAGTCTCTCTATTATAATAATAAGGTGAACGCTAAATACATGTTTAATGAATTCATGAAACATGAACATATATTTTGTGGCTCTCCCACAGGGGCTATGGCTCCCCAACAGCGGCTATGGCCCCACTCAGGGGTTACGGCCCCCATGCAAGGACTATGGCCCCCCAACAGGGGTTACAGACCCCAACAGGAGCTATGGCCCCCACACTAGGGCTACGGCCCCCCAACAGGGGTTATGGCCCCCCCCAACAGAGGCTATGGCCCCCACACAGGCTACAGCCCCCCAACAGGGGCCAAATGGCCCCTGCAGGGCCTACCACTGGCCTGCAAGGCCCACATGCCCCACCCCAGCCCCCCAATATCTGCCCTACCTGGCCCCATCCCCCACCAGCTGCTACAGCCCCCC